TCTCCCTTTCATTTCCTTCTTTTTCTTCTTTAGGTTTATTTATTCCAAATGTGATCTTAGCTTTTAATAAGTGATGACCGCTTCCACGGGTACAAATTGTACAATCATATTTTTCTTTTGTTGTATGATTGTGTAGTCTATGATTGATTTTAACCCTCTCGTATTGCATCCATGTGTATATGTGTATGTAGCTGTGTTGAAAAAAATCCATTCAGTGCGTTCTATTAGCAAGATAGAGTAACTAGTTTTTGCATTACTGCAATACCTAGATGGAGTATTTATTATTTTCTTTCTACCTGTCGTTTTTTTACTTTTATCACCATCTGGGGGTCGGGTGAAAGGCAACTTTAATCTTATCTGCAATTACAGTATCGTAAACCGAAAAAAAAAAATGTAAACAATTGTTTACTTTTTACGTAGAATCTGAATCTGCAATATGAAGAATTTACTATGTAGCAAAGATCTAATCTTACGAATAGCTTACCGAGGTCAAGTTTTATTATACGAAGTTATGTGTGGACTATTTAGGAAGTCATGGAGAAAAGAAGAAAGGAATTCGAGATCTCAATGTAGCCGCGAATTCTCAAAATTCTATGGACCGCAAGAATTACCAACGAAGAAGTACTCAGAAGCAAGAGTTGTCAACATGACCTACTGATAACAGTAAAATATCGAAAACTACAATATTTTGCACACATTATTCGAAACGAAGGAAAATATGGGTTACTCCAGGTTATATTCCAGGAACAGATTGAAGGCAACAGAGATCCAGGAAGAAGAAGAAGAATGTCTTGGCTTGCAAACCTGCGCAAGTGGTTTGGGGCAACATGAATCGAGCTATTCCGTACTGCAGTAAGCTCACAGTAAGTTCGCATACATATATATATATATATATATATAATATATATATATATATATATATATATATATATATATATATATATATATATATATATATACCCATATGCCATCAAAAACACAAAAGAGGGTAAAGTCACTGGACCAGATGAGGTGCCCATCGAATTATTAAAACTCATCGATGAAGATGTTATTAATGTAATGGTTGAACTCTTTAATCTAATATATCAGACTGCCACAATCCCCAGATAATGGCTGCAATCAACCTTTGTAGCAATTCCCAAAAAACCAAGTTCAACAACTTGCTCAGACCACAAAACAATAGCTTTAATGAGTCACACACTTAAAACATTTTTGAAAATAATTCACAGCAGAATTGTTAAAACTCTTGAATATGAGATAAGTGACACACAATTTGGCTTTAGAAATGGTATGAGTACAAGAGATGCTTTGTTCGGCTTAAATGTGCTGGCTCAGAGATGCATGGACATGAATCAGGATATGTACTTATGTTTTGTAGACTTTGAAAAGGCATTTGATAAAGTTCAACATAAAAAGCTTGTAGATATATTAAAAAGCAAAAATATTGACAGTCGTGATCTGAAAATTATATCTAATTTATATTGGAATCAAACTGCCAAGGTAAGAGTTGACAGCCAGTACACCGAAAATATCAAAATACAGAGAGGAGTCCGCCAGGGTTGCGTGCTGTCTCCACTACTTTTCAATGTCTACAGTGAAGCGGTATTTCAAGAAGCGCTCTCAGACTCAATAGAAGGTATATCTATCAATGGAGAAGTTTTGAATAACTTACGTTTTGCAGACGATACAGTAATAATTACGGATAACAACAATGATTTACAGAACGTAATGCAACGCCTTAATGAACGCTGTCATGAGTACGGACTGAAGATAAATTTAAAGAAAACTAAATGCATGATCATGACTAAATCTGCAGATGCAAATATCCAATTGACTATTGAAGATACTGCAATTGAGAGTGTTAATAACTATAAATACTTAGGAACATGGATAACATCAGATGTAGACCAAACCAAAGAAATTAAGATACGTATTGAAATAGCACGTGCATCATTTATTAAACTTAAAAAGTTTCTTTGTTGTCGGGATATAAGGTTAGAACTACGCCTGAGAAGGCTTCGATGTTACGTGTTCTCTACTCTTCTTTATGGTCTGGAAGCTTGGACACTCAAACAAGTTCATCTGAATAAGTTGGCCGCCTTTGAATTTTGGTGTTACAGAAGAATCCTACGAATATCATGGACTCAAAGAATGTCTAACATGGAAGTAACTAGAAGGATAGGAAATGAGGCGGAAGTAATATTAACTATTAAAAGACGAAAACTTGAGTACTTGGGACATGTGATGAGAGGGCAAAAATACGCATTATTACAACTTATTATGCAGGGCAAAATCCGAGGAAAGCGAAATGTGGGAAGACGAAGAATATCCTGGCTTGAGAACTTGAGGGAATGGTTTGAATGCAGTAGTGCAGAACTTTTTAGAGCGGCAGTCAACAGAGTCCGCATAGCCATGATGATTTCCAACCTTCGATAGAAGATGGAACTTAAAGAAGAAGAAGTTCGCATAGTTTTGATAATGACCAACATCCGCAACGGATATTGCGGACTTAAAGAAGAAGAAAAAGTATCTTGACATAAAATTTTATTACATTAATCGTATATCTGAAATACTGACATATAAAGCTAACCGAATTATCTCATTAACAGAATAAATCATATAACAAAAATATGTATAAAGAAGTAGGTTATTGAAAGTTTAAAAACTATTATATATAATAATCCTTTTCGGGGGAAATTTTAAATACAAAAGATGATGAAACTTCGACTTCTTTAATGGTTCTTTGTACAGTGCTGATAAAAATTCATTAATACATATTCATAATTGGTATTGTTTTTACTGCAATGAGTATGTATCTTTTTATTTCTGGTCACATACTTACGATCTGGATTGTACTTGAAATGGGAAAGATGACCACAAGAGAAAAAAGAAAGTTTCAGACTAAAATGCTTGAAGAACTGGAAGCTCTAAGAAATCAGAATCCGACAAGTCAACTGTTAGAGAAAGATCAGTAGTGCAAGAAAAAAAATTAAACCGAGATTAAATCTGTACGTGGACAAGGCAGGAAATATAATAGCTAATAAGGAGAGGATCCACCTTCAATCGGATGGGGGGCCTTCTTCAAGAGTCACAACCTCTCTCTTGATACAAAAGTAAGAATGCTGCGATGCTACGTCTTCTCTGTCCTTTTTTATGGTGTTGAATCGTGGACCTTGAACGAAGATATGTGCAAAAAACTGGAAGCATTTGAGATGTGGCTTTATCGGAGAATATTAAGATCCCGTGGACTGACCGAGTCACAAATGAGCAGGTCCTCAGAAGAATGAATAAGGACCGAGAGACACTGACCACCATTAAATCTCGAAAGTTACAATTCTTCGGACATATTATGCGAAATGAATCAAGATATGCTCTCCTTCAAGCCATCCTGCAAGAAAAAATATTTCGAAAGCGAGGTTCAGGAAGAACAAGAATATCTTGGTTAAAGAACCTCAAAATCTGGTTCAATACAACATTTGTGCAGCTTTTCCGCACTGTTGCGGATAAGATAAAGATTGTCATGATGATCGCCAACATTCGTAACGGATAGGCACATCAAGAAGAAGGAGAAAATCCTGACGACATGGAAAAACATTTCAAGGATTTGCTGTGCTTATGCAAATATTTTCTTATGTATACAAAGAGCCATGAAACGGACCATACTCGGTATTAGTCTTAGAAATAGAAAAACAATGTAGAGATCCTTCAAAGAACCAAAGTTGCAGATGTGTTAGAACGTATTGCAATGGGTAGGACATGTAGCTCAGCAAAATCAAACCAGATGAACGGGGAAACTAGCACACTGCCAACCAAGACAGACAAAACGTACCGTCGGAACACCCGAGAAAGGATAACTTGATGGCATCAAAAACTATGACGGTATAAGGTAGAAATTTAAATCTGTATGTAAGTATGTAATTACGAACATATCTACATTATAAATATTAAGAATAAGTTTAATTCGCCAAAATCAAATTATATTATTAAAAGTGAAACTGGAACAAACCATGAAGTGGAGACATCCAGGAGTGGCTAGTATCTGTTGAATACAAAGCACGTGGTGGTCGTGTGTATTAAGGTATAAAAAAATGCTTATTAAAAGCTTAAAATTTTTATTTTAAAGAAGATCTTTTTGGAATAAACTCATTCCATCATCAGTTTACTAAAAGAGAGAGTACAAATACCAATATTAAAAAACAAGTAAGTTAAAATTTAAATATATAAAAAGAACACGTTGGTTTTTTACTACTTACATAAAAAGTTGTCAAAAAAAAAAAACGTTGTATGGCCACATGAAAACATAGGAAGGAACTCACTATTAAAAAAGTATCCTCAAGGTGTTTATGAAGGTAAATGCAATAGACTGTTGATTTGTAAAAAATGGGGGCATCTTACATGACCCCAAGGTCATGAGACCCAAAGGTCATGTAAGATGCCCCCATTTTCAGTTTTTAGTAATTTACAATCAACAGTCTATTGCATTTACCTTCATAAACACCTTGAGGATAGTTTTCGAATAAGTTTCGATAAGTTTCGAATGCTTGGGTATTTTATATTACAAGATAAATGCTGTAAGTTGATCAAAATGAGCGGTACAGAATAAAACAAGAGGATGATACGTAAAATAGATAAAGATTTCAGTTTATTCTACTTGGATCACAAAAGTAAAAGATGGAAAAAAATTAGAGATAGGCACATAATAATAAAATCTGCTATAAACCAAGCAAAATACCGAATATTCCAAATTGATTATACTAGAAATGCAAACGGTTCAAGATCATTCATATATCTCATTCTCTTATCGTATAATAAAGAGCTTGTTTTGTCTAGTAATGTTTCGGATTATTTTTATCATATCAACATAATTTTTATTTGACAATCTTAAAACTAACGATTGAGAGGAAAAGAATATACCTATACTAATCATATACGTTTCTTTGTTTCAGCTTGCTTATTTCATCGAAAATATTCAACTGTATTTAACAAAGACATCTTTAATCAACCAAAAACAAAATGAAAATTCCAAGTGTTGATGAACGCATCCACGTTTTGGATGACCAATCAAACGTATGGACGGTGATCCGAGAAATCGTAAGCAACAACAATCAGGAAGATGCCTTTTACGTCTTGAATGTCGGAGATATCGTCAGGAAACATCAGGAATGGTGCGAAAAACTACCTCGAGTCACGCCGCACTACGGTAAACACTTTTGGTTATCGTTTTATGATTTTCTTCCAGTGTCCGTCCATACGTTATGACTTTAATATTGGAACGAGCGATTTTGAACGTTTTTGATTTACGGTTTTCCTGGTTACGAAGAGACTGCCGTCTTAGGGTAAAATATTAGGGTGTTTGCCCTCTTCAATTTCATTTTTTTTATATAATTTATAATATATGTACTTAACATTTAATGACATTTAAAAAATATGCATGAGCAGAAATGTTTTTTAGATTTTTTCTTACAATATCTGTTACAATATATTCTTCTTCTTTGAGTGCCTCTCCTTTCGGATATTGGATATCATTATGGTGATTCTAATTTTATTACCTGCTGTTTTGAATAATTCGTTAGTGGTACAGCCAAACCACTCTCTTAAATTTCTCATTAAGGAAATTCTTCTATGGCCTGGATTTCTGCGTCCTTGGATCTTTCCTTGCATTATATTTTGTACTTTTGTCCTCTCATCAGGTGGCCTAAGTATTCAAGTTTTCTCTTTTTTATATTCATAATAACTTCTGGATCGTTATTTATGCAGCGTATTACCTCTTCATTTGTAATTCTATCCATCCAACTTATTCTTAGTATACGGCGGTAGCACCACATCTCAAAGCTTTCAAGATTTTTAATATTCCTCTGTTTAAGAGTCTATGCCTCAACACCGTAAAGCAAAGTACTGAATACATAGCATTTTAACATTCTAGTTCGTAGATGAATACTAATATGTATCACGATTACAAAATAATTTTTTCATTTTAATAAAGGTAGACCTGGCAATTTCAATACGTCTTTTTAGCTCGTGATTTTGGTCACCTGTTTTATTAATGAGGGTTCCCAAGTATTTTTCTTCGCTTACTTTTTCAAGTTGGGTACCGTTTATTGTGATACTGGTGTCATGAATTGGATTCTTACTGAAGGTCATATATTTGGTTTTTTTGACATCAGCTTATCGAATGTTATTGATAACTTCTCCATTGACTAGTATCCCTTCGTTTGCATGTGAGAGAGCTTCTTGGCATATTTGTTCGCTGTAGATATTAAACAAAAGCGGTGACAATATACAACCCTGTCGTACTCCTCTACGTATTTCTATTTCGTCCGATGTTTGGTCTTCTACCTTTATATTAGCTCGCTGATTCCAGTACAGATTTAATATTATTTGCATGTCTGTGGTGTCGATGTTCTTACCTTCCAGGATTTCTTTGAGTTGATTGTGGCGGACTTTGTCAAAGGCCTTTTCAAAGTCTATAAAGCAGGCATGCACCTCTTGGTTAACATCTAGACATGTGTTAGGACATTTAAGGCAAAGAGAGCTTCCCTTGTACCTAATCCTTTTCTGAATCCCATCTGTGTATCGTTAATATCGATATCTAACTTTTGATAGATTCGGTTGTGGATGACTCTAAGAAATATTTTAAGCAGGTGACTCATCAGGGAGATTGTTCGATGATCTGAACATTGCATTGCCTTAGTTTTCTTCGGTATTGTGACAAACGTAGACAGCAACCATTCTTGAGGTATTATACCAGTACTGTATATTGTCTTAAATAGATGTAATATTATGGTTACGGATTTATCATTCAAAAGCTTCAACAGTTCTGTAGGAATTTCATCAGGTCCATTTGCTTTTCCATCTTTAGCGTTTCTTATTGCGTATTCTACTTCTTCGTTCAATATGTCTGGCCCAGTTGCATTGATTATCTGAGTTAAGTTGTTTCTAGCGTCTTCAAATAATTCATTCAGGTATTCTGTCCATCTTTTTATTTTATTCTCGAGATATACAATAAGATTTCCATCTTTGTCTTTAAGTTTACCTATTTGGCAAAACTTTATGCTTCCTGTTATTTTTTTTTTTACTTTTTTGTGTATATTGAACGCATCGTACTTTTTCTCATAGGTTTCCATTTCTTCACACTGTTCGTTAATCCACTCCTCTTTGGCTTCTTTTATTCTCTTTTTTATGTGTTTATTTATTTCTTTGTATTTGTCTGGGTAATTCTTCATCTTTTTTTCTTTGTTGAATCAAGTCTAATATATCTTGTGTCATCCACCCCTTATTCTTTGTTGTTGTTTTTGTAAGATGTTTCTTTGCTGCTGTTTGTATAGCTGTATTTATGTACTTTAATATTTGGTTAACGTTATTTGTATCGTTAATTTGTTGCTGCACTGAACGGAGGTTTTCATTTATTTCTTCTCCTGTTTCTTGTCGTATATTTTTGTTTCTAAGTTTATTTAAATCTAGTGCCTTTCTGTGTGGTCTTCTAATCTTTTTTGGTCTCGCCTCTATCACAGTAACTACCGGGTTATGATCTAGCCTATATCAGCTCCTGGATACGTCTTAGTACATTTAACAGCATTACGATACCTCCTTGCTATCGTAATGTAGTCTATTTGATTTCTCACTATTTTTTCTTTGGTATGTTGTGGAGATGTCCATGTATATAACCGTCGAGGAGGTAATTTGAAAAAGGTATTTGTTATTACGAAGTCTTCACTTTGGCAAAATTGAATCAATCGATCTCCTCTGTCATTTCTGTTTCCAAGCCCAATACAACATATAGTACCTCGCAAATATCTTTACTTTCTAAAATAATATGATATTAATTCTTCTTATGGTGTCCTATTCAATTAATGAATGTTTGCATTACTACGGAAAATATTTCTCTATTCTCTGCTGTTCTTTTTAGTTCTTCATAATCAGTAAAAATGCGTCCAGTGTCATATATTTCGGATCCAAGACAGTTTTTCCTCCCGGCTACCCGTTTTCGCTCAATTTTGCCTGTTATTATGAGTTGTTGAGGAAATATTTTTGATTCCTTAATAGATGTTGATATTTTGCAGACTTCTATGGTGTGGAGTACGATCAAAAACCTGTCTTATTTGTCATATGGTCAGTCCAAAGCATTTTCAATATTCTCCTGTAAGTCCACATCTAAAATGCCATTATCTTGTTCATGATTTCGTGTTCATGGTTGTAAGTTGATCTGTGGGTCGCATATTTAGTCCTTTTACTTGCATGAATGCGTTTCTTGCTTTTATTTTTAATTTAATTTAATCTTAAGATTTGGGTCCAGTGGGTTATTTATCTAGTAACCCAGGTACTTTATTTTATTTACTTTCTCCAGCGATCGGGAAAAGTTGCATTTCGAAAATTTCTAACCACTACAGCATAATGTGGGCTTGCTCCATCCTGATGAAACCAACTAGTCAGATCTATTTGACTAGGATTATTGATATCTGTACCTAAATGTTGTCGTTAAAATTGGAACTACGTAAGTTTGCAACGTATCTAAATACCTTTCACCCGTCACAGTACCGTCAAAAAAATACGGTCTTACAATAGTATTCCTAACAATCCCGGCTCATACATTTACTTTTTGGGGATATGGGGTATAAACCTCCATTGTCCAATTGGGATTTTCTGTTGCCCAATAACGATAATTTTACCTATTAACTGTACCATTTAAACAAAAAGTGGCCTCGTTGGAAAACAAGATATAATATTCAAATCCATTATTTCGATTACAAAATTATTGCATATTTCCGCATGCGTCTATTAAAGTCGTCTTCATTGAGTTCATGTATAAGTTTAATTCTATATGGATGTAATTTGGGCTTTTTTAGAATTTTATGAACAACACCACGACAGATCTCATTGTTAGTTGATAAAGTTGTAATTGAAGAATGAGAATTTTCTTCAATTTCAAGTAATATATTTAATTGATTGTCGTCGGAAACAGTGGGTCTGGGATCACTAACATTGCCAATATCATTAAATTTGTTCAATATTTTGCTTGCCATCGCTTTACTAATTGGTACTCGATCATGATATGTTTCATTGAAGATATCACATACTTGCCGTAACCTAAGATCATCAAAACTTTTATTCGCTGTTTTTCTGACAGCACCATCGTAATTTCAAATAATTTCTATTAAGGTAATATTTCTCAGAAAGATACTAGTGCAGACTTCTAAATCGATGTTACACAAGTCAATTTAATATTGACATATCCAATGGTATGTACGAACTTATTGTCTGGTTGCTAAGGAATTTGACATATCTTCACAGCCTACTTGATTTGGTACAGTGTTTCATCATCATAAGTGGCTCGACAATCCGTTATGGATCTTGACCTAAGCTCAGCTCATCTAAGTCTCTGCACTTTAACGAATTTCACAATATCTGGATCGGTTTATAACTAATATAGTTGAAAGTTGTATCTTCGACGCCATAGCCCATATTCATTTACGGCCCCAAAAATCTTTAATATAATTTTTCTCTCAAAAATACCAAGAAGTCTTTCATCATTTTGAGATAAGGTCCACGTATCAGCCCCACATATCAAAACCGGTCTTATTAATGTCTTGTATATATTAAGCTTTACTGCACGTTTTATATTTTTATTTTTTAAATGTTTCTGGAGACCGTGAACAGTTCTGTTTGTTATTGCTATGCGTCTTTTTATTTCGTCGCTTGTCGTGTTTGTTGCGTTTACTAGCGATCCAAGATATGTAAATTCTTTGAATTGTTCAAAGGTATGGTTGTTAATTTGAATTCTCTGTTGGATATTTCGAGGGATTTTAGAAACCAACATATATTTTGTTTTTTCCTCGTTTACCACAAGTCCTAATTCACTTGCTGCGTCCGCAAGACTTGTAAAACACTGCACCATGTCTCTCATACTTCTACTATATCGTCAGCGAATACGAGAATTTGCGTCCATTTATTAAAAATAGTTCCATTCATTCTAATATTTAATTGTCTGATTGCCAATTCAAGCCAATATTAAAGAGGAAACACGCCAACGCGTCCCCCTGGTCCAATTGGTTATCTTTAATAGATAAACAATCTACCTTCTGTATCGTGCAACAATAGGCCACTCCAATCGAGTATTTGTTGTAATTATGTTATTTGTTTGTCTTTAATATGAAATATCTTTTATAATCTTCTTTGTAAAATAAATTTTGAATTAAATTTTAATGTGATGAGTTTGGTACTGTTGTACTCACAAAAATATGGGCTTTTAATTTTTTAAATAAAAATATGCCCTTTCTATTAAAAAAATAAGGATGACGTCACATCTGCTAGGATAGTGTGGGTAAAAGTTATTTTTTTTTTTCAAAAAGGTTAACAAACAAAAATAAAATCCCATTTAAAATGGGTGTTTGTAAACTTATTTTTCTTAATTTGTTGTTTAATTATTGCAAACAGCTTCAGAAGTCGATTTTTTAAAAATTATTAATTTTTTAAACTTTTCCTAAAATGCACAACAACTTTGATTTCGCATGTGAATAAGGACAATATCACAAATAATATTGCTCGAACTAGTTCTGAAACTCTTTAAAGTATTTTCATAATGACCAATTATAGCATCTAAAATATGTTAAGCTAGCACCATATTCTAGCCCACTAATGCGAAAATTTAATTTTCAGCTGTCAAATGCAACGACAGCCTTACAGTTCTTGAAACCCTCAACGCCTTGGGAACTAACTTCGACTGCGCTTCAAAGGGCGAGATTAACAAAGTACTCAGTATGGGTGTAGAGCCTGAGAGAATCATCTTTGCTAATCCTGCCAAACCTTCCAGTCATATCAGACATGCTGCAGCCACTGGCGTGAATACTATGACATTCGACAGCGACACCGAATTGCACAAAGTTAAGAATCTGTTTCCTGAAGCCAAGTAAGTTGCACTTTTTTTTTAATTTTTTAAATTTTTGCGAGTAAATGTCAATAAAATACATTAATACACACAAGTGTCAATACACAGATTTTATTCAAATGTTAATTTTTGTACATAGTTTTTAAACATATAAACGAGTTTGTTTAAGGTATTAAGGTTCAAAGTTAATAATTTTCAAAATATTTACACTTTTATTGAGAAAAATGGTAATAATTAAAGGGTTGTAGATTAGGTTTCCAAGGTAGTGCAAATTTAAATGGCATGTCAAATTTTTGTTGCAGCAATTTTGTTTTGTTGTCAAGCAGCCGTTGTAAATTTTGTTCCCTTTTCGGATAGAATGCTATTATTGCAAATACAGGGTAAACCAGTAAACATTAATGTAGTACTGTAGTGTATGCTCCAACTGCAGATAAGTCAGAAGCTAAAATAGAACATCTTTATGAACAACTCAAACAACTACAATACACAAGAAAGGAAGAAATTACTATAATAATGGGTGATTTAAATGCAAAGATAGGAAAAGACCGAGTCGACAATATAATATCTGATTATGGTTTAGGAATAAGGAATGCTAGAGGCTACAGATTGGCTCAATTTTGTCAAGAAGAAAACCTGGCGATTATGAACACATGGTTTCGATTACCACCCCGTGACTGTATACCTGGAGGCCACCGCAGGATATTGAACAAAATTGCATTAGAAATCAGATCGTCTTTAATCTAACCAATCTAAGATTAGAAATTTCATTGTAAGCGTTAAGACTTTTCCTGGAGTAGATGTCCCCTCAGACCATAACCTCCTTTTCTCAAAAATGAAACTGAGGGTAAAAAAGATAATACAATCCAAAAGTTCTAAGGTAAATACTCAGTTACTTAAGATAAATGAAATCCGTGCTGAGGCTTCAACTTGTATCAATCACAAAATGAAGAAATTAACATCAGAAATAAAAAACACTGAGAATGTGAACATTATGTGGAGCAAAATCATCAAAAAGCATTAGTGGAGACGGCACTAGAGGAAGAAGTCAAATTTTTTCCAGTGTAGTGTCATTTTTAAATAATTTAATATTTTTGACATCTAGTCATGTAATATACAGTGTGATCACTATTTTCAAATACAAAATTTTAATGTTTCTTTTGTAAATTGAACACCCTGTGTATTAGTATTGTATTTTGTACAACGTATTTCAACCTTTCTTTATGTATGACGTTATGGTATGTATGACGTCTTGTATGGCGTTATTTTATGATGTGATAAAACAATGGAAAAGAGTGGAATCCCTTTCACACTGTAACTCTTGAAGATCTCAGCTAGATAAGAGGAGCCCGATTACATAAAAACAATTTGTTTTAGTGACGAAATTACTTTTTAGGAACACAAAATTTATTAATAAAAATCTACAAAATCATAAAATCTATAGTTATTCTCCAAATATCTACATATTAAAAATTAAAAATAAATTCTCATACCAAAAGAAAGATTGTATAATTTTCTCGAAATGCAATACTCTAATTATGTACATTGTGTAAAAATGAAACTGCACTAGAAAAACTTTGACAGGCCATTTAAATTTGCATTACCTAGGAATCCTAATCCTAATCTTTAAATATTAGTATTTTTCTCAATAAAAGTGTAAATATTTCTAAAGTGATTAACTTTATATCTATAAAACCTTATACAAACTCTTCATATTTTTAAAAAAATATTCAAAAATGGTTTAAGGGTGTTCCATTAAAAAAACACAACTTTGATTCATTTTGTTGTTCTAACTGACCCTGTATAATCGAAAATAATTTTAAATTATAAACGTCTTTGATATACACCGGTTTATTATAAACATTTTTTTAAATACTCCATAGATTAGTGCAACAAAAGAAAATCAGAGGTTTGGAGAGATTTTAAAGTAATGAATTGAATTGAAATAAATAATTCACGTATTTATTTGATTAATCATTTAGTACATACAAATGTTAATTCCAATATGTTTTGATAAGCATTATGCTGCATTATAAAGCTAATTCAAATAAGATAGAACTTGTTTTATTCTGTAAACAAAGAATATGTTTTGAATTTTTTAAATTCAAATGAGTCAAAACAAAATTAAAATAATGTTTTGAATAATGTACACGACCCAATTAAGTCTTTTTATATCTATATTTTCATATTTTTAATAACCTTATCAATTATTACTGTTAATTCTTGAAAAACTAGTTGCCTCTTCCTAAAGAAATAGTAAAAGTAAAATGAAATTATTCACTATTCTGGAGGTCCACATACTTTTTTCCTATCGATTTCCATCTTCATTCCACTTTCGGTATACTCCAGCAAAGCTCAGCTAGGGTAGTGGCTCATTATATGTGAAGTTTTGGGGATTTTTTTTATCTTCGAAACAGCTTCTTTGAATCTACTAATTATACGCTTACCTTTCTAAGTGCAATTTCCTCTAAATTTTTTATTGTCGACTTTTATTTACTAAAAATTTATGAAGACGACCAAACATCCAGACCAGACATACAAACAAGATCAAACCAATCGAAAAAAGATACGAAATCGAAAACAATATCGAAACAATTTATCGAAAAACAATAAATATTGAGCAGAAAGAACGGAATTATCAAATTTAGTGAGTTTTATGTTTTTCTGATGTTTTTATTTTCTTTTCTTTTTTAGGTTAGTAATTCGCATTCGTTGCGATGCCACTGATGTCCAATGCCAACTGGGAAACAAATTTGGTTGTGATCCAATCACTGAGGCTCCAGAACTTCTTCGAATCGCTAGATCCCTTGACTTGGACGTTGTTGGTGTGAGTTTCCACGTAGGCTCCGGATGCCGTGAACCGCCAGTTTTCCGTAGGGCTATTTCAGCCGCAAGGGACATCTTTGATTTTGCCGAAACCTTGGGCTATAACTTTTCTCTACTTGACATCGGAGGAGGATATCCTGGTGGAAAAGGAACTTCCATCGATAAGGTTTGTCATATTTATTTAATTTTAAATGCACCTTATTTAAATTGCAATTTTGAGTGTCTAGTCTAACTACAAATAATGAAAAATCATAAAAATAATAATAAAATGATTGAAGATGGTGAAGCAAATACCAAAATTGAGGTAAATTAAGATAAACTCAAAATTTTCAGACTAAAAAGATACGTCTTTCTAAAAATTAAAATCAAATAAATAAATAAAATACATATTTGGAGCAGTATAATTGGAGGAGTTCACAAGTAGTGTAGAAGCAGAAATAAACATTGAGGAAATAACAAAAAAAGCAAATAAGGCAAAAGATAAATTAAAATTTGTAAATATAGACCAGCGGTCTTTTTAATCATTACCCCAAAATATTTTTGTGTAAGTTGATATTACTCCATGGCAAAGAGCAAAAAAAACGAAATCGTCTCTTTTTAACATCTTTCATATTATAGCCCCCATGATAATTTTGAACAGAAAACAATGACTAAAAATAATATATCTATAATATTCTTGTATATATAATACAAAAAAAAATCATAAGTTACACAACAAGAAATTATCATTTACTTATATTTTCTGTAGGGGCGAATATTTTTCATCAACTGTACATAACAAATTGAAACCCATTGGGGTACAATTTGGGGTACCATAACAAATTATAATACTAATAATGGTGGTACAAACAAAAATGAGAATTGAAAAAAATTGGGACTTTTTATGTAAGAGCGATTCAAATACAGTCTTCGGCGTTTAATCGATTTCTGTTCTTCGTTTTTATGTTCATTAGAGTGGAAAAGCCTTGTTCGCACAAATATGTTGTTCCACATGGCAACAATTTTTTAACCGCCTCTTCATGTGCACTTTTGAAAGCATTTGCAGCTTTATCCAAAAAGACGACAGATTTGGTTTACTCTTAAATTGAATACGTGCTTCAGTATTAGATCGAAGTTCTAGAATTGCTTCTGCCAAACCTGAGGTTCTTTTGCTATCATAACAATTTCACATTTAAAAGGATCTACAATCCAACTGACAGTACTTGTATCAAGATCTGGGAAGTAATCTGAAAACCACTTTCTGAGTTTGATAAAATGGCTTACAATTGTACCCTTGATGTCAGCAAAAGTAATTGCAATAACTTGCAATTCTTTGTTTAATATATTTATACTCTGAAAAATGTCCGCTAAATATGCGAGATATGCAACCCAGGAAGAGTTTTTGAACTTATCTACGAGAATATTTTTTTGATCAACCATAAAAATTTTGACTTCAGTTTTGAGAGTCCATACTCGATTTAGTACATTTCCGGGAGAGAGTCACCTTACTTCTTAATAAAGCTTCACCGTCCTGATATAATTCACGAAATAGCCGCATGTTTAGTGCATGTCCCTTGATAAAATTTACAATCTTGATGACATCGTTCATGACGGCTTCCAGTGTAGGTTCTATTTTGACCATAAGGGCCTGGCGATGGGTCATACAGAAAGTAACTTCAATATTTGGATTATTTTTTTACGAAAGCCGAAAAACCATTAATGTGACCCAGCATAGCTGGAGCTCCATCCAAAAACACAAAAATACAGTTTTCCTCTTTTAAACTTTGCGCATTCAAGTATTCATTTACTTTATTGTAGACATAAATTCCACGAGATATCAACTCGAGAAGAGAAACAAACAGCAATTCCTCTTCAAAATTATCTGCACCTTTGTAGCGAACATTTACCATTAGCTGTGAGTTAGTAGTAAAATCAGTTGTCTCATCAAACTGAATAGCAAAATATTTAGCCTGTTTTAATGCGAAAATAACCTGTTCCCTCACATTTTCTGCTAATATAGAAATTCGTTCTTTCACAATTCTCGCAGACAAGGGCACTGAATTCAGTTCCAACGCTTCTTTTTGACCACGCATAATCTCTGCCATTTTTACACAAAAGTTTCATTTTTACCCACAAAAATTTTATTTTAACCCCATCTGGGGTAATTTACCCCAATTCCCCGACCGCTGATATAGAGCAATAATAGGTTGATAAAATTTGTCATGACAGAGCTACAGTTAACATATGAAAACCAATAAGTTTTTAAAAATAATAAAAAAGTAAAAAAGAAAATCAAAAACAAATTGAGACGAACTGCAATGGATCAATTGGCTCTTAGATGTAGTGAAAGCCAGAAAATAGCAAAATTTTCAGTGTTAGAATCGGATTCCGGAGGCAAAAGAAAAAATAGATACAGAATAGAGATGCAGAAGATGTTTTAGATACAAGATCTAACATATATAATATACTTTGTAGTAATTTTGAAATTTGTACTAATATTGATATATTGAATAATAAAATAACAAAAAACCGCGGGATGCACAAACACTAGTTGCTGGATTACACCATCATCATAATCATTGTTTTTAACTATATTCAACGCAGCTCCCGTGAAGGAGTTTACTTGGGTCCACTGTATAGCCGAAGAACAAACTCAACTGTCTCAAACAATAGTTACTCCGGCCCAAATGAATGTACTGATAAAATATTCATGGGCTTAATCTAGTTAGCAAATTGCTCGCAGGTGACTTAGTAAGGTGCTCCATCCTCCCGCAGGGACCATCACTAACAAGCCCAATCTCTAAATGACTATTCTTTTGGCTTTTAACCCAAACCCTGAACCGAGAAATGGTTTAAGCGGAAAACAAATTTATCTAGGTAATTTATTATCTGGGAAACATTTTTCACAGAAAAAACTGTTTTATGTATGCTCTCGAATTACACATAGTAGTAAGTTTTCGAATGTAGTTTAGGTATTCCTAAAACCACCACCACAACTGTATGTCAAAAAGGCAAAAATTTTTTTGTTTAATATATTTTTAATTAAACTTTATATTTATTTTCAGATCGCTGAAATTGTCAATCTCGCACTGGATAATTACTTCCCCGATCCATCAATTCACGTAATAGCTGAACCTGGTCGTTTCTATGTAAGCTCTGCCTACACTTTGGTGTGCAATATCCATTCAATTAGAAACGTCAACCAAATCAACGATGAAGGTGTAAATAATATGCACCGCATGTACTACATCAACGATGGAGTTTACGGCAGTTTCAATTGCATCTTGTACGATCATCAGGTAAAATATTACTTAAAAATTTCTTATTTAATTTCCTAATATTTACCGTTCATATTATAAACCAAGAATGATGTATCGTTGTCGTCGCTCTTCATTACTTTGTATTTTATTGCATCATTCTTTTCCGTTTGATTACTAATGATATACGTTTTTAATCAATTCGCAATTTAGTAACGTTGCTTCTTGATTTACATACTTCACACTAGTTGCATATTTAATATCATATCGATATTTTTACAGGTTGTAGTACCACAGCCATTGGAAGAACGCGTTGGCGCAAAATACTACGACAGCAGTGTATGGGGACCGACCTGCGATGGACTCGACCAAGTAATTGAACATGCAATGTTGCCAGAAATGAAAGTTGGTGATTGGTTGGTGTTTGAAGACATGGGAGCGTACACCCTTCCCGTAGCCAGCCCTTTTAATGGTTTTCCAATTCCTAATGTCCATATAGTGATGGACGAGAGCATCAGGTAAAGTAGTTTGTTTAATTATCGAGAGGTATCTAAGTATCTATTATACAGTGTTAGCAACCTTACTATAATTATAGTAGACGTACTGTAATTACATTCCTGCTTGCTATAAACTATCACGTCTTTACAGTAATTCTTAAATCTATTATAGTTTTCATAAACTATATCTTTAGACCGAAAAAACAAATTTTTCGTAATTAATTTCAAAATTTTTTTCATTTGGCGCCGAAATAATGACTATTGATATAATAGAGTATATATACAATAGAGATGGATGATGTCAATCGTCAGGAAACATCACCTACAATTAGAAGTAGTTGGACTGTAAGACGCTTGGAAAATTGCGTGAAGACTAGACTGTCATACTCGGATTACCGATCCATGACTCCAGCAATCTCTGTAATATCATCTCTCTGAGGCCATTTCGCTCAGTATTATTCCAATGATTCGTTAGTGGCCCAGAGGTAGACTGGGGAAACCCTGTCTAGTAAGAAAAGTAACACATTTGCTCTATTACAGACTGACTATCTATGAAAGCAGATATTCATGATTCTGTCAACGAATCTATCATGTGTCAAAGCTATCCCCAGAGCGCACACCGAGATCACAAAGATCGTCTCCTGATTGATCGACGCATAGGAACCCATGGTCTTAAATCACTCAAAGTCTAGTCCGTGCCCTTATATTCCAGTTGCTGCCAGCTTATCTGTGCTAAACCTTTTTGTAAACCAAACGAGTTTATTCCGGCTCATTGGCACTGCTCAAGCATCGAAAGCTCAAAATGATCGACGATACAGCACTGCTCCGCATGGAAAGCACAGGAGATTGCTCAATAATCGATCGGTCGCTCGAGAGCAGTAAAAATCCGAAAAAAATTCTGCCTTATGACCGTCGATGAAACATGGATCGACTGGTACACACCAGAGAGCAAGGAATAGTCAAAACAGTGGACTTACTCGGCGAACATGATCCGAAGAAGGCGGAGACTGTACATTGGAACCGGAAAGGTGATGGCCACCGTTTTCTGCGATTCAGGAGGTGTGATCAACTACCTCGAGAAGTACAAAACGCTCCCAGTGCTCTATTATACAAAATTATTGGACCGATTACATAACGAATTGCAGAAAAACGATTCCATTCCGAAGAAGAAAGTGCTCTTTCACCATGATAACTTACCGAATCATACATCCGCCATTGCCACTGAAAAATTGGTAGAATTGAGCTACGACCTTCTGCCTCATCCACCGCTTTCTTTAGATTTGGCCCCTTGCGACTTGTTTTAGTTTCTATACTTGAAAGTTACTACTTTGCGGACCTCGCGAAAAAGTATTTTTCGAGCGAGATAAAGAAGTTGGACCATCGCTGGGTCAAGTGTGAGATAAATTTCCACTTTTCCAATATTTTCGTTTTTCTTTTGTAGCCTAAATATATCGGACCGCTCTCGTACATTAACAGTATTGGCAATTTTAAAATGTCTAAAAACTTATTTGTCACTTTCTCTAAAAACTAGAAGATATCGCCTAAGATGCCTTCAGATGAATGATCGCTTATTGTAATATAATATTTTTATTTAATAATAAACATTTTTTTAGGGTTCTGATGGAGGATATGTTTGAACTGACAGACAGACACTTCGAGATGCTAACCATACCGAACAATTTGAAAAATAAAAATGATTCCTCTTCCAAATACGAACTTCCTGATTTCCCAATAGCCATTGGAAATTCGATTCTAGATTACGTTGACGTCGTTGCTATGGAATAACGGTACAAGTTTGGATTATGATCTGTAAAGCGATTTGAACAGTCGCTAAATCCATTTATTTTCGAGACCAATTTTTAAAATTAATTTTTTTTTAAAAACTTCCAAGATGTTTATGACAAATTTTCTAATTTTAACTGTAGTTTAATTATACTAAAAGTAAAATCGATGGGCCTTTGTACGAACCATGAATTGTTTTTACTCATCAATTTTATGGTTTTGGAACCTTGAAAATTCAAATAAAAACAATAATTTTAATATAACGTAATTTTCAGCCAAAAGTAAGTGTACTTTAAATTTTGAATGTATCAAAAGCCGTACAGGGACCCAGCTAATAGAATATAAGTGCAAGAATTTGAAAAGTACTACAATGATCGGTTTTACAAAGTCAGTTAACTGCATTTAACTAATCAACCGTTAACTAATAACAGCTATGTAGCCAAGGAAGTGCTATAAGTAACGGCTAAAGTTAAGGTCTATTGGTTAAGCGCCGAATTAACAGTGATTTGTAAATCCGGTCATATATCTTTATTTTTAACTATTATTGATAAGGAAAAACGATCTATAGCATTTTTAGAGTTATTAATTAGGTAAACGGCAGAATATTTGTCATAATACTAAAAGATTTTAATATAGATCTCTTTTACAATTAATTTTGGGAATAGTTAATGAAATATTTCTTTTTAAAATACTTTTGTAACTTTATATTTTCTAAAGTTGGGACGTATTTGTTAAATACAATTAGATTATTGGGTTGGGATTTTGTTTTTATCTTCTAACATTTATTAATGTTATTAGATAAAAATTGTAATGGCCAACTTTGGTGTGTAAGCAAGGGGGCAGCTTAAAGCTTTTCGATAATGAATAAATGTTTTTTGTTAATATTGTTCCTAATGTATTTTCATCAAATTATATTTGAGTAAGTAGACTAGGATATATATTTATTCGCTGTTTAGATTTAGATTATTGCTGCATAGAATTAAATAACTTAAGGCTAATCTAGTTGTTGTTTATTTCATTTACTCACCTATCTGCATATGAAGACTAATAAAAACACCACAGTAATGTCAAAACCGATATGAATTCATTTGTGTTAATACCATGTATGAAATGGTGTGGCTGACTACAGGACAAGAAGTTATTACTAAATATGATTCTCAAACAAATATACCTACAATTATACAAACATAAAAAACCGTGGATAACGTTTAAAATATTAGGCGTGATGGAGGATGGATGAAGGAAAGCTAAAATCAATTTTTGTATAAACAAGGAAAATTAAAAGGATCGTAGAACTGCAAAATAAGACTGGATGAAAGGGAAGTGCGAAGATATGGAACTGTTGGATTCTAGACATAATATGCATAACAAAGCACTTAAAGAATGAGAAGGATTATACTGAGCATGTCTTATTTGAAGACAGAAAAGCTTATATTTGACCCACATGAAGTCCTATACACTTGAAGCTCGTCCATTAAAGAGCAGTTTAAAGGTTCGAAGTTATATCACAGTACCAGAATTGTATAAAGTGACTCAAGTTTTCAATGCAAACCTTTACGGGTTTGAGAGGAAGAGGGAAGGAAATCGAAGAGTCAAAGGCATGAAGAAAAACCCTTTAACTCAAACTTATAACTGATTTAAGGATTAAATTCAATTCCTATTGTCAAATGAGATTTAATGACTTGGAAAAGGGGCCGGCCAGTAACTTTTAGCACAGATAAAACTGAATTACTTAAACAATTCTTGATACACAACAGTACTAGTAATAAATGGGTCAGTTTGATTGAATATTTATTTCGATATACTATAAAAAAATATGTTCAAATAAAAACTAACATTATACGTAATCTACTCTGAGCCATATATGTCATCTTCAGGTTCATCAGTAGTATATTCGCATAGATCCACAACTACTGGTTCCATGGTAATTTCAATGAAGTTATCACAGTTCCACATATTCAGCTCTTCTTTTATTACATGCTCGATACATTTTATTCACGACTGTAAGGTCACATTGCTGAAGACACTATTGCAGATTTTTTACAAAATTGAACTTGAAAGTAACGTTGTTCCTTGCTACTTCATTATTATTTGAGCCCACATACGTTCTATCGGGTTTAATTCACAATGTTATGGCGGCAATCGAACTACAATTACGCCTCGTTCTCGCGCCATTTAATCTACTACATATTTGATACATTTATCTTAATGACACCGTGCTAAGTTTAGTAACTCGATTTTCAAAAATGGTTCATTGAATTTAATGTGTTGTAGTAAGCCAATCCGCAATCTCGGCTTTTTTTCATTTACTGGTTGGTAACTGGTCTACACACCGGGATTGATATGAAGCGTTGTTGGTAACTGTTCAATGAAAAACGGGAATCTTGAGTTCTTCCAGTTACTTGTTGCTAAATATTATTTGGACTTCCCGTGGTTTTAGAAAAGAACAAAAGACCGTACATGAAACTATTTAATTACTTCTACGTGACTGTTATAATATATAAAAAAAGAAAACTTAATTGTAATAATACAACTAAAATATTACAAATATAAATTAATACTACATGTTGTTACATCTATGACTGGAAACGGAATCTAAGATATGCGGCGTTTCAAAGACGACAGGACCGTCGTCAGATCTTTTAAAGTTTTAACATAAGCCGCCCCCTTTGAACGCCATAAGGGGGTTGAAAAATTCAAATGTACAAAGTCAGCAAGTCAATATTAAGCCGAAATTATTAAAGTTTATCTAAACACAAAAAAAAACTAAAGTTGATCTTCGTTCGGTAGCACACATAACTTCACAACCGGACGTTTGTATACGCCAGAGTTTGTTTTTAGCGTTACACTACGCACAATTCCTTCACTGCCGGAATGGATGTCAGTCACTCTAACCTAAGGTCCATCTAAGAGTTTCCAGTCCATATTCTTTAAAAAGTACTAGGGAACCGATCTTGAGAAGGGAACTGCATTGTTTCTTCCACTTAACACGTTGCTGAAGAGAAGAGACGTATTCTTTGGACCATCGTGTCCAATAGCATTGCACCATTTGCTGCACCTTTTGAAATCTACTCAATCTGTTCTCCATAACATCTAACAGATTGCGGTCAGGAACTGATGTGAGAGGTGATCCAGCCAGAAAATGTGCGGGTGTGAGAGGAAGTAGGTCTGAGGGGTCATTAGACATAGGAAAAAGAGGTCTGGAATTGAGAATTGCTTCAATTTGAATCAAAACATTGGAAAACTTCTCATATGAGAGAACCGTATTGCTAATTACTCGTTTAAGATGGTATTTTACCGATCTTACCCCAGCTTCCCAGATACCACCAAAGTGAGGTGAACGCGGTGGAATAAATTTCCAATCGATACCCTCAGAAGAGTGTGTCATGTAAGGCAGAATTGTTAGCTTTGAGAAAGTTGGAAAGTTTATTGTTGGCACATTTAAAGGTGCTCCCATTATCGGAAAGAATAGAAGCACATTTACCCCGTCGAGAAGTAAAACGTCTTAAAGCTGCTATAAAGCATTCCGTAGTCAGACTACTCAGGACCTCTAAGTGTATAGCCTTTGTGGCCAGACAAAAATAAAAAGTGCTACATAACCCTTAATAGTCTTGTAGTTTCTCGTAAGACGGTCCTTTAAAAGAAAAGGTCCCGCATCCCGGGTCGTGAAGGAGTAAGACGTAAAGATGGTAGATTACCCATTAAATAAGTTTCGAGTTTTGGAGCTGCCTTGAAACATGGGATGCAGTTTCTAACAACCTTTCTAACGACATAACGCCCATTGAGAGGCCAATATTTCTCTCGCAAGGAAGATAAAAGTAGCTGTGAACCAGCATGCTGTAATTTTATGTGTTCATGCCGTACAAGTATGTCTGTAAAATGATGTTTTTGTGGAAGTACAATGGGATGCTTTCTCTCGTATGAGATATCAGCGTTGTGAATTCTTCCACCAACTCGAATTATGTCATCTTGATCAAGAAAAGGATTCAGGGTGAGAAGTTTGCTTTTATGATCGACCTTGCCATGTTTTTTGAGATGTGTGAAATCATCAGAGAAAGACTGATTTTGCACAATGCGAATAAGACAAATCAGAGAACAGGCAATTTGGTCACATGTTAAATTGGTAAAGGTTCTTTTTGACATGGTTAGCCTGGAATTTTTACAGAAACGTAATAAGTAGGCTACAATTCGTTGTAGTTTAGTCAAGGAAGAAATTTTGTAAATAATGTCGAGATTCATGCAAATTCTTGCAGATAGATTAACAGAAGATCGAAGTTCAGGAATTTTAACCTGTTTGAAGGGTTGATGAGGCCAGAAATTTTCAGACAATGAAAGCCATGGAGAGCCATCCCATATCTCCAGGAATTGGAATTAGTTAAGGATTGAACCTGTGAAATTCTGTTCGCAAAGAAAGGTTTTAACAAGTTGGGACGTGTATTGATCCATGCTATAACGATGCTGGAACCACACCAACAAACAACTTCATCAAAATTAATTTGTAGTGATTGCTTTACTTTGTCCATCAATTCGGATAAGAGTAGCGCTCCACAAAGTTCAAGTCGGGGAACTGTAAGAATATGTTTCAAAGGAGCTACTCTGGTTTTGGCACAGAGTAAATGACAACTTATATTTCCCTGAGTATCTAACGAACGAATAAAAATACAAGCACCATATGCTGCAGTAGATGCATCGGAAAATCCATGTAATTGTATGGATGTAAAATTGGAAACGGTATTATATCGAGGGAATTGTAATTTATTAAGGTTGACTAATTGGGATTGATAATTTGACCATTTTGTATGAATATCCATGGGTACAACTTCATCCCAGGAAATTTTTAGACGCCATAAGTCTTGTAGAATGATCTTAGCGGTTATTGTAACTGCTGCTAAGAGACCAAGAGGATCAAATATTTTTGAAATTGCTGAAAGAATGTGTCTCTTAGTAATCTTAGAATTGTTTGTAGTAGATTGAACATTAAAGACGAAAACATCTAATTTAGGATTCCAAAGCAGACCTAATGTTTTGACAATTTCATCGGAACCTATGTCCAAAGGAATGTTCGGTTGAGTTTGATTTCCATTTACTTAAATGAAAGCCATGTTTTGAAAGTAATTCAGTGTTTAAAGATTGAATATGTTTAAGTTCGTCTAAGTTAGAAGCACCGGTATGGAGATCGTCCACGTAAAAATCGCGTAAAATTATAGACGAAATATCAGGAAATTTGTCAGAGTAAATGTGAGCTACTTCTTGCACACATCGCGTTGCTAAAAAGCTGGCAGAAGCAGTGCCATAAGTTACAGTATTTAAAGAATAAGTCTCAATAGATGAATTTGGATCAGATCGCCACAATATTTTTTGTAAACAACGCTGATTTTCTTTTATAGGAATCTGTCGATACATTTTAACGATATCAGCAGTTAAAGCAAATTTGTGTTTTCGAAAACGTAAAATAATAGTGAAAAGATCGTCTTGTAGTGTAGGACCTAACATTAGTATATCGTTTAACGAAAAGCCAGTGTCAGATTTAGCAGATCCGTCAAATACGACTCGGATCTTGTTACCCTTGTAAACGCAATGATGCGGAAGAAAGAGTCTGGATGGGATACCAAATTTGAAGAAAGTTTAGTCATATGATTCAATGATGAGTATTCACTGATGAATTGAGTATAATCTGACAATGAATCTGCCTGTAGAATCAAAGGAAGTAGTTTCTTTAAAGTGTTTCTCACATTGAAGTTCTTCTTCAGAAAAGAACTTGGTTTTTGGAAATTCTTCAAGCTCCCAGAATTTCTGTAACTGATTTTCGAGATTTCTGTTTCAAGAAAAGTGACAATTTGTTTTGTTATGAGAAAGAAAAGGTATAGGACCGGATACAATCCAGCCAAGCTTGGTTTTGTTTAAAGTAGGTTGACCATGTGATAGTTTAATTTGACCAATGCATAAAAGATCCCAAAATGTGTCTGCACCAATTGAAATGTCTATAGGAGACGAAA